CGTTCCCTGCATCCGTGAACGTCCGAACAACGGATAAATGCCGCCAAAACAGTCTGTTGACGCCGTTTTGGAAGAGTGTTTTCGTTGTTGTGGGGGGGGGGGAGGGGCCTCAACCCACTACGGTCCTTGCTAACGGTACTTGCATTCCTCCTCCCCCCCCCCCCCCCACCATAAGGTCCGCTGTCTCCCCCGTCCACACCTGCACCACCACCGTTAGCGCTGTCCACACACCTGGCTCTCACCCCACCTGCACTCTTGGCTCTTGTTACAACACCAGGCGTGTTGATCTGACCCCCTCCTTAATCACATACACACACCTGTGATGCTGACCCCGCCCCCTCGCCACACACACCTGTGGTGCTGACCCCCCCCTCCACACACACCTGTGGTGCTGACCCCCCCCTCGCCACACACACCTGTGGTGCTGACCCCCCCTCCACACACACCTGTGATGCTGACCCCGCCCCCCCCCCCCTCGCCACACACACCTGTGGTGCTGACCCCCCCCTCGCCTCACACACCTGTGGTGCTGACCCCGCCCCCCCCCCACCTCGCCACACACACACGCCTGTGGTGCTGACCCCGCCCCCCCCCTCGCCACACACACACACCTGTGGTGCTGACCCTCCCCCCCCCCGCCTCGCCTCACACACCTGTGGTGCTGACCCTCCCCCCCCCTCGCCTCACACACCTGTGGTGCTGACCCCCCCCCCACACACACACACACACACACCTGTGGTGCTGACCCCCCCCCACACACACACACACACACACCTGTGGTGCTGACCCCCCCCCCACACACACACACACCTGTGGTGCTGACCCCCCCCCCCCCACACACACACACACACACCTGTGGTGCTGACCCCGCCCCCCCCTCGCCACACACACACACCTGTGGTGCTGACCCCGCCCCCCCTCGCCCACACACACACACCTGTGGTGCTGACCCCCCCCCTCGCCACACACACCAGTGGTGCTGACCCTCCCCCCCCCACACACACACACACACCTGCAACATTCTCTCACAGATGAGTGAGATCATGACCAATCTAAAATCTTCAGAAACCGACAATGAAAAACAAAAATCTCTTCCGCCCATAATAAAACACTTTTACAGTTCGGTTCTAAATGATTTTGCTTTTCCGGAAAAACGACGATCATCTCTTTAGCTTTTTGTTTTGTAAAGCTAATTCATTTTACAACGAGTTAAAGCGACAAGGAAAGGAACCGTTATGAGACATTCCTTGCAGCGGAACCAGGAAATAAGCGCCCTGGTTATTCCCGGTTTATACAATGGAGCTCGCCTGGCTAAGGTACAAGGACCCGACACTAGTCGGCGGTTTTGTGTTAGCAATTTGTTTATCTTATCGATTCATGGTTGTTTGGGAAGGTTTTACAGAGGTGGGGGGCTGGGGTGTGGAGGGGCGGGGGGCTGAGGAGGGAGCGGGGGGTGACGCCCCCCGCCTGAGGTGCTGGGCGGGAGAATGTGGACCAATGCTCTCCGGTAACCTTACGGGGCCGCCCTCCTCCCGACGTGTGCACCACCCTCTCTGGCTCTGGCTTGGGCAAACTGCACTCACTCTCCATCGATGTCTACTCGCCCCCCCTCTCTCCCCCCCCCCACTCCCCCCCTTCTCAGACACGTGTGATTGTCCACATACAACCCCCCCCTCCCTGCCCCCCCCTCCCTGCCCCCTGCCCCCTTCCCTGCCCCCCTCGCTGCCCCCCTCCCTGCCCCCCTCTCCAACCGCCCCCTTCTTCCCTACTCTCACTCACTTGTGGGTCACACTGGTCGTGCATTAACAGCTTCATGAATGATCCGATTGAATGGTCCTCATTTATTGCATATATGTTTATTGTATGGGTCTTCCTCCCCCTTGACAAGCCGCCGGCGTCCTGTCCTCATGGAGGCCACTAGAGAGAGAGATAGTGAGGCTCAGCTAAGTCACGTGACTGTTGAAGAGGTGTGGAACAATGTGCTCCTATTCTGTCCCCTCAATAATTTGTCTGTATCTAAATCTAAGATGGTTTCCTCGAGGGGTTTCTCCTGAGTGACGTGTACTGGGTTGATCTTGAGGTGTCCAGTACACAGTACCTCCACTCCTACAACCAGAACACCAAGAACACTCTGCGTCTTTTACATCATAATATATTTTGTATTTAGGAAAAAGGACTTGGTCATGAATGTTTTTATATACAAATGTGTAAGAATATATAATAAACACACACACACACTCACACACGCACACACACACACGCACACACGCTACCACCAAACATAACATTTCCCTCCAAGACAGAAGTCAGGAGAGAGAACTGGGACGCGGCTCTTACCCCCCCCCTCCCCTCCACACCATCCCCTCCCCTTCCCCCACCACCAACAAGCTATCCACCTCTCCCCACTCCGCCCCTCCCTCCCGCCACCGCCCCCTCCTCTTCCCCCGCTCGTAGTGCTCTTGAACTTGGAGTAAAAGAAAAGAACAGTGTCCCCTCATGGTCGGCCGGGCTCTGGAAAAACAGGAACTAGCAATCGGTTTGTGAATCGACCCGGATGACGGCGGGCGGGGTTCGACTCCCCAACACACGCGTCAACACCTGCCTGTTTAAGGGGGGCATTATTTAACGTAAGGGGTATCCATTGTGGTTCTGAATGCAAGTTTAAATGATTTGGAAAACGTAGCTTTCTAAATGGCCTAGTTGGCTCCAGTGGCAGTTGATGCCTTTAGGAAGAGTGAATTCAAAACGTCTTTATCAAAGACAGCTGATAGCCATTAACGATTCCTTGAGACACTGTCTCTTAAGGTCTCTGTTTATCGTGAATGTGCAAGGGGGAGGGGGAGGGGGTGGGGAAAAGGGGGTTGTTGTAATAGATTCAGCTACTCGGAACAAGTTCCAAGTAGCACGGGCTATGGTGAGCCCGTAGTGGACTTACCTGGCACAGGATCGGTGCTGAATGAGTGTCCGGAAAAGGGGGGGGGGGTTCTTCGGACTTAAATACACCACCTACTTTCTTGCCTTACGGGTTATTCATGCCCGTGCCACCTCTTGGTGGTGGCTTAATCTGCATCAATCAATGTTGTCTAACAGCGAACAGATTACAAGACTATTTTAAACTACAAATTTCTGTTTTGTTGCTTTCCTTGGACTGTTTTATTTTTGTCATTTTGTATATACGGTTTCAGTAGTAGAGCTCCACGCTCTTGGTGCTCCATGACAACTGATTATTTTTGTCTCTTCTGGGCAGTTTATATTTATAGAAACTTCAAATTGGTTTCATAAGTTCAGGCACTTGTGTTTCATCAGACTATTTGTGCATATTTTGTCGCCTATGATCTTTTTTACAAGGTTTTACTGTAGGCATCTTCAACATCTGTCTCTCCTGCACCTCTGACTTTTACTCAACATTGTGTGTGTGCGTGTGTGTGTGCGTGTGTGTGTGCGTGTGTGTGTGCGTGTGCGTGTGCGTGTGTGTGTGTGTGTGTGTGTGCGTGTGTGTGTGTGTGTGTACTCACCTAATAATGCAACGTTTCGGAAAGCTCAGTCCAGAGTATTATTGATGTAACAATCCAATGGATCATTTAGATCATCGTTTATCCAGTTGTGTGGATCGTTGAGACTGTTATGTCGCCCGTTGCTACGAGGTCGTTCAGTCCTATGACTCATTCAATCGTAATGTTGGTTCAGTCCTATGAATCACTCATTCCTGACCCAGTCCTATAGATCGTTTATTCATAAGGCTCCCGCAGTCCTGTGGTTCGGTCAGTTTAATTCATCGTTACAATAAACCATAAAGGCTTAGGCAACAAGGACTGTGTGTATCTTTTTATACATATAGCTGTTTAAAAGAATAAAAACATACCGTTTATTTTTCTAACCGTTCTGAAACTTCAAGATAACCAGGGCTCCAGTGCCAGTCACTGGGGGGAGCCTTACTCGACTGAAAATTCCAGTTGGAAATTACCGTCTGATAAAGCAGGTAATTGGGCTTAATAGAGAGTGGGCCGCTATCTATATCTACTCGACTTTCTTCTTGACAGCACGGCTGGAGTTCCTGGCGCTCGTCCTGGGCTTAAAATGCAGCATCAGTGAGGTACAAATTGTGGAACTTATGGAATTAGTAAGGAATTGGATAATTCAGTTTTCTGGGATGAGAAACAGTTCTGTTTGTAAGGTTTTGTTTTGTTTTTTGTATAGACAATTAAGTTTAGGTTTCTTGTTCATCTGTTCACCTGTGTGTCTTCTTTTTCTCACCTGTGGACGAAGACTATGAGCCACAGGTGAGACTGGACTATATACACTGTGTGAGACATCCGCTGTGAGGTTGTTCATAAACCAGTCTGAGGCTTATAAGCTTCACAGGGGCTACAGTACACATACTTCACAGGGGCTACAGTACACATACTTCACAGGGGCTACAGTACACACACTTCACAGGGGCTACAGTACACATACTTCACAGGGGCTACAGTACACATACTTCACAGGGGCTACAGTACACTTCACAGGAGCAACAGTACAATTCTCAGGGGCTACAGTACACTTCACAGGGGCTACAGTACACATACTTCACAGGGGCTACAGTACACATACTTCACAGGGGCTACAATACACTTGTTGGTTGGTCAGGAAACACTTGTGTTGCAGTAATACACTTCCATACGCTGAGAGGTGTTAAGCTTAACACCAAACTAACCCGGCCATGCTCGGGTCTCCTCCATCCCTCTCTCATATCTCCTTCCCTTCCTTCCTCTCTGTTCCATGTGGCCCGGAGATGGTGAGCAGGGGCATGTGGGGGAGAGGAGAGGGGGGAGAGTGAGGGGGGAGAGTGAGGGGGGAGAGTGAGGGGGGGAGAGTGAGGGGGGAGAGTGAGGGGGGAGAGAAGGGGACTAACGGTACACGTACCGTTAGTCTAGCTGGTCGCCACCATATAAGACGAATTATCTTAAGTTCCAAGCTCCGTTCCCTTCACTACCCTCTCCCCCTCCCTCTTGGCCACAATGGTCATCTACCCTGGCCACACACCGGGTCATCTACCCTGGCCGCCCACCACCGGGTCATCTACCGTGGCCGCCCACCACCGAGTCATCTACCCTGGCCGCCCACCACCGGGTCATCTACCCTGGCCGCCCACCACCGGGTCATCTACCGTGGCCGCCCACCACCGGGTCATCTACCCTGGCCGCCCACCACCGGGTCATCTACCGTGGCCGCCCACCACCGGGTCATCTACCCTGGCCGCCCACCACAGGGTCATCTACCGTGGCCGCCCAACCACCGGGTCATCTACCCTGGCCGCCCCCCACCGGGTCATCTACCCTGGCCGCCCACCACCGGGTCATCTACCCTGGCCGCCCACCACCGAGTCATCTACCCTGGCCGCCCACCACCGGGTCATCTACCCTGGCCGCCCACCACCGGGTCATCTACCGTGGCCGCCCACCACCGGGTCATCTACCCTGGCCGCCCACCACCGGGTCATCTACCCTGGCCGCCCACCACCGGGTCATCTACCCTGGCCGCCCACCACCGGGTCATCTACCGTGGCCGCCCACCACCGGGTCATCTACCCTGGCCGCCCACCACCGGGTCATCTACCGTGGCCGCCCACCACCGGGTCATCTACCCTGGCCGCCCCACCACCGGGTCATCTACCCTGGCCGCCCACCACCGGGTCATCTACCCTGGCCGCCCACCACCGGGTCATCTACCTGGCCGCCCACCACCGGGTCATCTACCGTGGCCGCCCACCTCCGGGTTAGTCACCCCACCACTGGGAAAAGATATCCACAAGTCTGTGTACGGAAGTAAGAGCTACTTTCCTGGAAGACCTTCACAACACTGGCGGGATCTTCACGTTCTCGCCCCGGTGGAGTACGCTGCTGGTTGCTGGGGTCGGCAGGTCCCTGGCGGGGGGTGGGGAGGTGCCTGGTAGGGTGGGGAGGTGCCTGGTAGGGTGGGGAGGTTCCTGGTAGGGTGGGGAGGTGCCTGGTAGGGTGGGGAGGTTCCTGGTAGGGTGGGGAGGTGCCAGGCAGGGGTGGGGAGGTGCCTGGTAGGGTGGGGAGGTGCCTGGTAGGGTGGGGAGGTTCCTGGTAGGGTGGGGAGGTGCCAGGCAGGGGTGGGGAGGTGCCTGGTAGGGTGGGGAGGTTCCTGTAGGGTGGGGAGGTGCCTGGTAGGGTGGGGAGGTGCCAGGCAGGGGTGGGGAGGTGCCTGGTAGGGTGGGGAGGTGCCTGGTAGGGTGGGGAGGTACCTGGTAGGGTGGGGAGGTGCCTGGTAGGGTGGGGAGGTTCCTGGTAGGGTGGGGAGGTGCCTGGTAGGGTGGGGAGGTGCCTGGTGGGGGTTGCAAAACGATTGATGCAACGGGGTTGAAAAAGATAGGGAGGAATCAACAGCCCTTGGGAAGGAGAGACGAGGCTTTCAACATCCCTCTCAACATAACGGGGATGAGTGGTAGATAGTTAAGTGGTACATACTTGAGTGGTAGATACTTGAAAACTATCTATATTGAGTGGTAGATACTAGATATCTGTCTATCTTGAGTGGTAGCTTATTGCGACGCTGAGTTGAAGTGAAATGTGCTAACGTGAGTAGTTATATGGTAGTTGTTTGGTAGTTATTGGAAATTGGGTTATTTTTACATGACAGATGTGTGTGGTAGTGCATGACAGGTGTATGTGGTAGTACACAACACTTGTGTGGTAGTGCATGACAGGTGTATGTGGTAGTACACAACACTTGTGTGGTAGTATATAACAGTTGTGTGGTATATAAACTGCGTATATTGTGTAGTAAAGATGCAGATAATTATATATAATATTCCTTTAAGGTCGTGTAAGATCACACTTGTGAAATATTTCTGGAAATTCTATCTCCTGGAAATTAATTGGGAAGAAAAATATATAATATTTTATGCAGACGTTTCCCGTCCAATAGAGTTAGTGAACTCACCTTGAGGTTACCTTGAGGTGCTTCCGGGGCTTAGTGTCCCCGCGGCCCGGTCGTCGACCAGGCCTCCTGATTGCTGGACTGATCAACCAGGCTGTTAGACGCCATTGTCTTTCCCGCTCTTTAATCTTCTCTTCCCTGGCTACTTGACTCACAGTTTTAAACAACTCTTGTTTACTCTCAGTGGGATGTCTCCGGTACTCTCTACTCATGTCTCGCACATTTGCGTTAAGCATCTTTATGTAATCGTTCTCATACCCTCTTATTTTCTACCTCTGAGGGTTACTTCGCCCAGGCGTACGGCGCGGAACTCTGAGACAGCTCTCAGTTTGGTGATTAAGGTCATCAACAAATGTATCAATGTCTTCTGGGATTTCATATTCCGTGTAGTCATTCTGTTGATGAAGTGCGGCCTCATATCTGGTCCGAGTGATAACCTTTTTCTTTGACCTATACTGCCTACAGTGGTGCCGGTCTTATCCCAGACTGGTCCTCGACATTGAAAAATGAATTGCCTTAAAATAATGTAACCTGACTAAGTACATTTCTACATGATCAATCAGACTTTATGCTTAAAGTCTTGCTTGTAATAACAATATTAAATAGTCCAGACTGTCCACTGAGGTGTGGCAGTCCAGCAACCAGTCCAGCAACCAGTTCAGCAACCAGTCCACCAACCAGTCCACCAACCAGTCCACCAACCAGTCAAGCAGCCCGTCCACCAACCAGTCCACCAACCAGTCCACCAACCAGTCAAGCAGCCAGTCCACCAACCAGTCCACCAACCAGTCCAGCAACCAGTCCTCAGGACACATCAACTATGGTGTCTAGAAGAACATCTTGTGGTTGAGTTTACTAGATCTTGATGGTCAGGAGGCTGCGTATGTTGGTATATGTCACCCGGCGTGACCAAGGAGGGTTCGCATCCCGCTCACCACAATATGTGACAGTTATGTGCTTGGCGGTAAAGTTTTATTGGTGACAGGAGAAAGCGCTCGCCCTCTAGGCTTATGCTCATTTGCATAATTATTTTTTCCGGTTATATGTATATGTATTTTGTTTTTTCAGACCATTTTTGCATCTTGGGACGTCGATGGTGTGGTTTGCCAGCTTGGTTGTGTGTAGTCACCTGTCACGCATTCAGGAACTTGACAAATTTGACATTGAATTACGTCATAAAGCTTGACACCTGTGCTCCTTCTCCCCACAGTTGAAAGGTCGCTTCTGGAGCCCTCGTCAAGTGGCTCCAACTACTCAACCATTCATCAGCTTGTTTAAGGCACTTCCATAGATGTATGTCTTGTAAGAGACGTGAGGTCTTAGGTTTTCTCCAGCCTCTGAGAGCCTCCTCGACGGTCGCCGACGCCGACGTCGTCCTCCTGGTGGTGTCAACAGGAAAATGCTGGTTGTGTATGAGACACCGGCAGCTTGGCCAGCCTCTCTGCGCCCTTATCCGTTATTCTCCAGACCCTTAGTGGGGTGGGGGTGGGGGAGGGGGGGGAGTTATATGACGACGTGCTGGAGACAGGGTGGGGGTCGCGGGGGTGGGGGTCGCGGGGGTGGGGGGTCGCGGGGGTGGGGGTCGCGGGGGAGGGGGGGTCGCAGGGGAGGGGGTGGATGATATCCCCTGAGGGGGGGGCGGTGTTTGGGAAGCAGGTGAAGGAACCATTTCTCCACCATCTCTTCAACTCTTGTATCTGGACTATTCCCCACACACTTCAAGAATGCCACAATAAGATTAAGTCCCAAGCCTGGAAAAACCTCCAACTCAAACTGAAATTTAGAGGCCAATTTCCTTTCTCAAAGTACAAGGCAAAATATTCGAAAAAATAATCAATCAGAGACTGGTGAAGTACATGGAAGAGGAAGGGAAGTATAACACCAGGCAGCATGGATTTAGAAACCGCAGAGGGGCCCATACAGCTATAGCCCTGATCTACGAGCATATAGCTAACGCGATGTCGAAAAAAGATCAGTGCATTAGAGTCCTTTGAGACGTTATGAAAACCTTCGACAAAGTGTGGCACACAGGCCTAAAATATAAGATATCTGAGTTAGGACTTCCTGAGAGATTTACTGCTACTCTCTGCAGCTTTATAGACAACAGAACTGCTAGGCTTAATATCGGTAGCTACTTGGGTGACGTAATAGAACTGAAAAGTGGAGTACCACAAGGAAGCTGCCTCTCCCCCACTCTATTCAACATACATACAGCTGACCTACCCCAACCCCACCATAGAGAATACATCATATACGCTGACGATGTTACCCAAATAATATGCCAACCGGGCCCATCAAAGCCGATACTCGTCAACAAGACCAAGGTAGCAATGAATAACTTTTAGAAGCAATGGGAAATTGCTTCTCACCCCCACAGAACATATCTCCCAGATAAAATACTGACCAGAAATTCCTTCCTCCCAATACTTAAAAAAACTGCGTGTGTGTGTGTGTGTGTGGTGTGGTGGTGTGTGTGTGTGTGTGTGTGTGTGTGTGTGTGTGGGTGTGGTGTGTGTGGTGTGTATATAATATGTGTGTGTGGTGTGTATGCATGCATATATGTAAGGATATGTATTATAAATGTGCATATGTGTGTATGTGTATATATGTGAATATGTAACTGAAAACTACTTAGTCCTTAAAACTTAGTCCTGGGGACCATTCAGGCTTGTTTGCATGTGAATATGTATACATACACATATATAAATAAATAAATAATAAAATAAAATAAATAGCCTTAAACAGAACATGTGTCCTCACC